ACAGACAGACAGACAGATAGATAGATAGATAGATAGATAGATAGATAGATAGATAGATAGATAGATAGATAGATAGATAGATAGATAGATAGATAGATAGATAGATAGATAGATAGATAGCCAGGAAGCAACAGTTAGAACTGGATATGGAAACACTGATTGGTTCAAAATTGGGAAAGGAGTACAACAAGGCTGTATATTGTCCCCCAGCTTATTTAACTTGTATGCAGAATATATCATGCAAAAGGCTGGACTGTAGGAATACCAAGCCGGAATCAAGATTGCCAGAAGAAATATCAACAACCTCAGATACTGTATGCAGAGGATACCACTCTAATGGCAGAAAGTGAGGAGGAATTATAGAACCTCTTAATGAGGGTGAACGAGGAGAGAGCAAAAAATTGTCTGAAGCTCAAAATTAAAAAAACTACCGTATTTGCCGGTGTATAAAATTCTTTTAAAACTGCTGTTAGCTAGTTACATTTACATTCACATTTTCCTCCAATAAGCTCAAGGCAGCTCACATGGCTCTCCTCTTTCTCATATAAGCTTTGGAAGGTGGATTAGGCTGAGAGACCTCATCAAAGGTCACCTAGTGAGGTACAAAGCTCCAGAATACATGAATCTGGATCTCACTAGCTCAAGTCCAACACTGCAACCACTTTATTGGCTCTCATATATGGTTTTAGAAACCTACAAAGGCATTTAAGACAAGAGATGTCATCACAGAAATTTACTTACAAAGTTGTGTGTTGTAAGAGGCACATTCTCCAATACTTCCACATGCAGTTCTTCTCCTGTCAGCCAGGAAATATCTGTGTCCCAACCAATTGGCTTCTTCTCCCTGCAGTGCAAATGAGCTTCTTATAGTTAATTGCATCTCCCAACTCAAGCAGTTCTCAATGCTGGAAAGAAACTTGTTAGGGGACAGGGAGTATTGAAAATATGCTTGCCTCCTGGTACTCCACTTTAAGGAGCTCCAAGATGGCAAAATGTTAGCATGGGACTTCTCTTCTACAACTTATTCTAAGAAGAGCTGTACAACAAGAAAGAATGGATAGCTTTCAAGATCCAAACACCAAAGGAACCTTCATTCCATAAGAAAACACAGTCTGCTTCCTTACTCTAAAGGCTGAAACCCTCACCCCCAAACAAAATTGTTCTTTATATGGTTTTTTAAAAATTATTTTCCTCTACAACTACATATTTATTAGTTTAGTATCAAAGCAAGATCTGGAAGAGGAAGACCTGAAATGTGCAAACAATGTGGAACCTACTGCTATATAGTATGCAACAGTGATCACTCCGAGCTTCTCTCTAACAAATACAATAGCAGAGAGAAAAGCAAAGATTTCCCTCTAAACTCTCACAACATTACAGACATTCACAAGAAAATATGCAGACAAATTTTAGTGAGGTGTGCTATGAACAATAATTAAAATAAGAAGAGATTCCTTTCTGTCTTTGCTTGAAGGCTCATACTCTTTAGACAGTGTAAAGGAACCCTATAGCAATCTTTCTCCCCATCAACCCCCTGCCCCAGAAACCATGGTGCATACAAACCATACCCATCCTGTATTCGGTAAACAGCACAACACTCTGGGATTAGACCTCGCATCATCAATGCTTTCTTCAAACTCTCTCGTACTGTTACACCACATCTTGCTGGAACCTGCAAAATAAAAAAAAAAAAAAAACAACAACAAACCCCTAAGTTCCATCTCAACATTATCCCAACATTTTGGGAGGCATCTGTCAACCTTTTATGTCATTTCTTTTTTTACAGAATGAAAGGGAGTTTTGCTGAATCCAACCGGCAAAGTCTTCAGCAACATGCTGTCTCCAAAAAGGGTTGTACCACAAAGATATATACACTAACAAAGGCTGACAGAACCTCCATAAATTTTGTTAGGCTACCAAACCCATCCAAGGCAACAATCACATTACATTTTACATATATTAATTATGAAAGAGTAGGTGGGAAAGAACAGCTGATCTTGAATTCAAAGCTTCAGTGCTTGCAGTGGTTTGGAGATCTGGAGCACTATAGTTAAAAAAAAAATTAGCCTCTCCAAGCTCTGCCTTGGACACTGCTAAGAAGTAAGAAAGCCCCCTTTGATTTGTAATTTAAAGAAATGAATGCTTAGAGTGGGAGCTGCTTTCTGGTGGGTGTCAGATGTGAGGAAGGAAAGGCTTTCTGCTATCTACAGGATGAACAAATTCCTGCTGCTCTTGCCTCAAGAGGTTCTTCATGCGAGTTTTTGTCTGTTACGATACCAGGAAAGACTACAGATAATGGCAGGAAATACTATCTGAATAATTTCAGTTACATAGTCACCACAGAATTTCTGCTCCTATACTACACCTGAGTGTGATATAATTTTTTGAAAATTTTGTAAAATGCTTTCGATTGACAATATTTATTTACACTCAAGAGCCAATTATTATTATTTTCTTTCCTCACATCAGAAACACCCCAATATAATTAACAGAATGGAATATATTGTAAAGCTTAGAAAAGTATATGAGACAATTTCCACCCAATAACTGACAACATTAAGGGTATCTGGGACAGTGAACAACGTATCTTTCACAGTACAGTGGTGCTTCACAAGACAAACGCCTCCTGGAATGAAAAACCCGCAAGACAAATGGTTTTTGCGATTGCTGTGGTGCCTCGCAAGACGGCTTCTATGGCTGTGCTTCACAAGACAAATGTTTTTCAGAAGACCAATGCCTCGCAAGACGAATGAATTATTTTCGTCTTGCGAGGTTCCATTATTTTCGTCTTTCGAGGTTCCCATAGGAATGCATTGCAATGCATTCCTATGGGAAACCACTTTTCACAAGACGAAAATTTTGCAAGACAGCGCTACTTGCGGAATGAATTACATTTGTGTTGCGAGGCACCACTGTACATGTTGAGGAGCAGAGAGGATACTGACATAGGTTTGACTCTGCCTATGCTTGTACAGAGCTGTATCACTGTCAAACCCACTTTCTTAGATTCCCCTTGATTCAACAACTTCAGTCTATAGTCTATTAAATGACTTCCAAGTAACCCAATGCTCCATGTGACTTTCCTGGGGTTCCATACATTTTAAGAGGTGAGTACCATATTTTTCCATTGTATAAAATGAAACTTTTTACTAAAATAATTAGAGGGAAAAATTGAAGGTCATTTTATACATGGTAGTAAGGAGGAGGGGAGGGTTCAAAGCACTTTGATCCCTGCTTTCCCCCTCCACTTTCTGCAAAGAAAGTGGACGGGGAAAGCACACCCTCCACTCTCTTTGCAAAAAAGTGGAGGGGGAAAGCAGCTTTTTGCAAAGGAAGTGGAGCAGGAAACCACTTTCATCACAAGGAAGTGCATGGGGAAAGCAATACCTTCTTTCCCCCTCCACTTTATTGAGAGGAAAGTGCTTTCTCCCTCCTTTCTTTGCAAAAAGCTGCTTTCCCCTTCCCCTATTTTTTTTTGGAAAAGGCTCCTTTCCCCCCCCACTTTCTTTCCAAAAAGCTCCCCTCCCCCCCCCCCCTTTTGCGAGAGGGAAAGCAGCTTTTTGCAAAGAAAGTGGAGGGGAAAATACTTTCTTCCCAAAAAAGTGGAGAGGGAAAGCAGGAATCAAAGCGTTCTGATCCCTGCCTTCCCCCTCCACTTTCTTGCAAAGAAAGAAATTTTGGGTGAGAAAATGGGGGGGGGGCATCTTATACACGGGAAAAGATAGTAACTCTTGCTTTTTACATTATAATCTTGACATACTTTGCTGTTTCAACAAAATTCACATATGTTCTTTTAAAACAAACAAACCGTTTCCTTGCTTTTAATCTGGAAGCAGCTGGAAGGTAGCCAAATAGTAGATGTGCAATTGATGTATATGCTTTGAGTTTTCCACTATTAGCAGCTACTTCTCTCCCTATGCCACTGGGTGCAATGCTTGCTGGATAATTGATTTCACCAATGAAGGCTGGCTTCAGGCACATAGTAATGTTTCTGCAGCTTTCAATGAATGTTATGTCTACCTATTTTGATGGGTTGAGCTATATCACACTGGCCTGGTATATTCACCTACGGAGTAGCACAGAGGCGAGGCTGTGGTTCTTAGTATATGTGGTTGTGTGCCCTAACTGGTTCCCAACAGCTTTTAATGAATACTGTTGCTTCCAGGACATCTCTTGCTTTGTATTTTGGCAGTGTTCCATATAGGTCAGCATATGATCCAAAGTAACACTGAGGTATTTGGGAGTAAAATATTGATTTACTGTAGTTGAACACCTTTCCATGTAACCTGAAGTTTCCAAGATGCTTGCTTGTTTCTTAGATGAAAGGGACATATTTGAGTTTCATTGGACTGGGTTTAAGTTGCTTTGAATTATAACATACATGAAGTTCTCCTAATGCATCTGTTAAGAGATATTCTATCATCTGAAAACTTCTGACTGAGCAGAAAGTGCAAGATCATCAGCATAAATAAAATGTATGATGCCTTGGGGAAGCAGCTAATCGTAAGTATAGATATTAAACAAAACAAGAACCAATTTGCTGCTCTGAGGCAGGCCAGTCTTTTGAGTCCTTCATCATATATGAAAATTTTACTAGTGGTAAATATAAGAATTATCTGAAATTTGCATTTTCCTGCACAGAGGGATAACTCTACTATACACAGAAAACACTGAAGTGCACATATCTTCTTTTCACTTATATTTCAGAAACTTTAAGAAAAACTTAGACTGCTTGCTCTTTTACTCAGTCCTGTGTAAGACGAGTTTAAAAGGCATCCAGGCATTAGTCGACCTATCCCAAGGCAACCAGATCCCTAATTTTCAGTACATTCCACAAAAGCACAAGTTCAACCCCTTTGAAAAGCAACCTGAATACATTCAGTTCAGCATTGTTTGTACTCTAACTAAGCATATCAATCAATATTCGCTGTAAAACCTTTTGTAAAAGAGCACTGCTGCCTATACCCTTTTTACGCGCACTGAAAGAGTAATACTTGGATATAAAGACATAGCAGATTATAACCTGCATATATCTTTGGAAGGTAATCTTATCTCTTTCTGTTTATATTTCCATTGTACTGAGGCTGAATCAGAACAGAAGTTGTGACTTCAACTCTTAGTGATAGAACTTGTTGAAGCAGAAATGAAACTCTGAAGCTTCCTTAAGGGAAAACAGCCTGGAAACTGTCTCTACATGGCATTCTGCGGTGGGTGGGGTGCACTCAAGAATCAAAATCTATCAAAGTATGTTTCTATCTTGCCCGTAGATCTAGATTGATTAAAATAACTTTTTTACCCACAAGCCTATGTGAAGGAAAATGGCCCTTATTTTCAAAACAGCAGCATAAAGAATCTGTTTTGTCCCAGAGAAACAATCACAGGGTTCCCATACGTATATATAGGAGATCAGTGTAAGACAATATAAGTTTCTCTTCAGGTCCAACAGACATCAGAGATTAAATTAAATATTACAAAGAAATATACTTTTTATATCAAAATATAAATATATATCTCCCCATGAGTTTTCCAATGTGCAGCCTAATGAAAAGTCCTTAAGGACTCAAAAACCTGCCTGCTTCTGATATTCTAGTAGTCCAATAGCTATTGCTAACTCATATTTCTGGATTTGGCACAAGTACCATGTGCCTTTATCCTCCTTTCTAAATTCCGAAATATGACCTCTTATAAACACTCTCACGGGCTCATAACTACTGAATTGCCAAGAAAAACTGATCAGGCCTTCGGATGCAAAGGTAGAAGCGGCACAGCAGTGGAAACTAGCATCTTTTGTGGCTACAAGTTGTGGCAAACAGGAATCTAACATTTCATTTACTTCACTGTAGTAATTCTTAAGGCAGGGGTGGAAAAATTCTAGAGATCTGGAGGACTGCCCATAATTGGATCTCTCTAATATTTTTCGTATTTTTTTAAATGAAGAAGCCCCTCACACATGAGCTATTTTTGAGCAAGATTATTTTTTCAAGATCCTGAAGGACAGAAGCACTAAGGGATGCACTTGCGCACTGCATTTGACCTGCAAACCACATCTTGCTCACCCCATTTTGCACCTTCAAAGGACAGAATTTTAAGAATACAGTATGGGCAATGCCTATTCAAGTACAAGAAACCAGAGGAAGATCCAAGCAGGTTTCCAAGTGACTAGACAAAAAGACTTTGGTTTGCTTCACAGCCCTTGGCCACTTCCCATCGCCAGCAAATGTTAGCCATGTGAGATTGTAAGATGCACATAAGCTCTGGGTGCAAAAAGGTATATTTATCAGCATTTTTTCTTGCAACTATTATTTGAACTACGAAAGCACAGACACTTGTAAGACTCCAAAATAGGCCACATGTAAGCTAACCATCATACCTGAGGAGAAAAAAACCAGCATATTTTTACCAAAGAAAATAGTAAAGGTAAAGGTAAAGATTCCCCTTGACAATTTTTGTCCAGTCGTGTTCGACTCTAGGGGGTGGTGCTCAGCCCCATTTCCAAGCCATAGAGCTAGCGTTTCGTCCGAAGCCAATCTTCCGTGGTCACATGGCCAGTGCGACTTAGACACAGAACGCTGTTACCTTCCCACCGAGGTGGTCCCTATTTATCTACTTGCATTTGCATGCTTTTGAACCGCTAGGTTGGTGGAAGCTGGGACAAGCAACGGGCGCTCACTCCGTCGCGTGGATTCGATCTTACAACTGCTTGGTCTTCTGACCCTGCAGCACAGGCTTCTGCGGTTTAGCCCGCAGCGCCACCACGTCCCAAAGAAAATAGACAACTATTAAATAATAATAAATGTGAAATACCTGCAAAAACTAATTTGTGGGAATAAACCACTGAATATAAAACCCAACATATCCAAAGCCATTTAAAATTAGGTTGCAACCTTACAAGTACACAACAGAACATAAAGCCAACTGTGCATGTCTTCAAGGCAGACACATATACGATCCTGCTGTTAAGCACTACTAAGCTGCAGTTTCAAAGACAGAATTAATCCACTGCCAAGTCTTCTTCCTGAAAGCATCCAGATGTAAAGTAATTTCATGAGATTTTGCTATATATCTGAAATCTGAATTTTTTTATCAGCTTCCCATTTAAGTTTCCCTTCATATTCTCCCTCTGAATTACTTCTCTTGTGTTTTATCTGTCATCCCCTTAATTTTTTTTAACCAGAAATATCTGTGCCACTGGTAATTCCTGTTTCAGCTTCTGTCATCTCACATATTTTGTGTGGCCTGCCTCACCACACCCAAAGAAAGCACACACTTTCTTTCTTTCCCCTTGTTCCCAGCCTTTATGGTCTCCTTGGCAACAATAAGCCTCAAAAGTGTGTTGGAAATTGCTAGAAGTGGGGGATGGATTAGCAATGTACATTCTTCCATCCCTGTGTACCAAAAGCAGGTCCCAGTTCACAGACCTGGAGTTTTATCTTTTAGGATTAAAATACTTCGACAACGCTTCTCACTTTATTATACCTTCTTCGTACGATCTGCTCACATTCATTTGGACCAAGTCTCTCTCCTCCTTTTATCTACTATTTTGTTATCATACTTGGACGTTTAAAGTGACATACATATACATCACATACCAGAGGCGGGAAGCCGACAAAGGCCAGTACAGTTGGTCTTCCCTTCCTAAAGTCCCAACCACTCAGAAGAGAAAGGGATGAGAGAATAAATCAGTCACAGCCTCATTTCAATGTACTTTGCTCTTCCCTCTTACTCTTTGACCATGGAAAAGGATAGGAAAGCAGAGCCCTTTTCTGATATCATAGCAGAATCTGGTTTACTTATTACTCACCTTCCCTGTGCAGGAACTAAGCAGGAGAAGGAAAGCTAGCTAGTTCAGAACTCTGCACCACGCAATAGCTGGGTCCATTAGTCTATCACTTGCTGTTCCTACTGGAACACACCATGCAATTGGCAAATATATTACATGACTCAGTGGGCACCCAGAAATACTGGGCAAGTATGTTCCTCTGCCCAGAAGGATGCACACATCTTTTGTGGTTTCTCTGTCCACAGAATGCCAAAACAGGCTGGATGATGTCAGAAGCTCAGCTCACCCCGACACCACTTAAGTCTTCCAGATTAGTGTATGGGGATCTGCCCCGAGAACCAATTCTTTACCTTCCATGCATAAATTCACCTCCACCCTGAACAAAGTCTCAAAAGCTCTCCAACAATGGGAAACCCTCACCCACCTAATTCTTATTGCTCTTTTATCAAGTCTCTTTTCATGCCCAACCTCCGCTGCCATTTCTGACTCTCACATTCCTTCAAGAGAACCAGAGGCTGCAAAGTCGCTGCTTCCTTCCTTAAGACTAGGCATAGCTGGGCTAGATGTTTTCTCTCTTCTCGTTTGCAATCAGCAGTGGCTTATTTCTGCTCCTGTCAGACACCACACACAGCTGGCCTTTGGACAATGCATAAGAAGGAAAACACTATGCTTATTCCACAATCTACTGTAGCACACAGTGATGAAATTTTTAAAAAAATACTACTACTTTTGAATTTCTCTTGCTTTAAAAACAAACATTTATTTGGCAAGGAGGTCAAAAATCAATCTTTTGACACAGTCACAAGCCTTACCACTGTCCTCTGCTTGTTGGGTAGGAAGACTCTAACAGTAGGCTTCTGCGGAGATTTAGGGTTATTCCTTGACAAATCTGTAGGGTTTGGATAAACTGAGAGGGATGAAGGTGCTACAGAGAGACTAGAGGATGATGATGATGTAACAGTATCTGTTGAAGCAGAACTAGAGACAGAAAAATCAGTTCCATTCCCCATGGATTCCAGTAACTGCTGTTCCCTCTGTTGCAATGCATCTAATTTGCTGGTGTATTCTTCATAAGCCTATGGAAGGAAGAAAAAATTATTTTGAAAAGTTATTTAATACCAGACACACACTTCTGAGATAAGTAACTATCCCCATCAATTCTCTATGAAATATTCTGTTGCACCTAAATTCATATCATGGTGCCATGTGATTTAGCTCCTGAAAAACAATTCTTATTGTGGCATATATGTGGACAGGAGCACCAATGTGCTATCTACTAAACCAGGATTGTTAATGTAATCTAAGAAAGAATGACATATGTCTGGAAAACTGTTCTGATTAGGATTTGAGTACTGAACATAGAAGCCTGAAGATCTGGAACAAATGAATATTTGTACGACTCCACCAAATTAAAAAAAAAGTAGAAACCAAACACAGAGCTACATACATTAAAATTAAGTAAGACTCTGACTTTGCACATACATTTGAAGCATATTTTAACTTCCTCACACAGGAACTCTTTTCTCATGCTCCCTTTAAGAAAATGGTGGCTATCACCTTGCAGCTAAGTATGCACAAGTATAGAACCGAGGTAACCATCAAATAAGACATCAAAAGCAGAGCATCATGTTATTGTGCTTCCCAAGCATTTATTGTATTTTTGCCTTTCCTAAAAGTTACTTTAATATTTGTTTTGCCTGGCGGCTGTACTATTTGTATGTAAATCTTTGCACAATGTAAGGGTTCTGTAAGTGGCTCTGCTTTCTCTCCAAATAAATTAGTCAACTTATGAGGTTTGGAAATTGGAGTAACATTTATTGCTGTATTTAATATGAAACCAGTATCTGCAAATGCATTCCAACTTTTGTCACCTCCTAACAATGGGTCAAAGGGGGGCTTCCATCATTCTTCTTTAAAGGGGTTTCCCCCAACAGAGTTCCATGGTCCAGGCCAGTCTGTTGCCAAATTAGGATTCAACAGTGGTCTGGATTCTCCTTCCAATCGGGGTACAGTGTCCTTGTCCCAGAAGTCCACCCAAGTGGGTTCTCTCGAGGGCATAAGGGTCTGCCATGGTCCAACAGGTATCCCTTCATCTTGGTCTCCATCCCCCTCCATTCAATCCTCTCCCTTCTTTCCCTCTCAACTCATTCCTTTTCTTCCCTTAACTCTCTCCTCCACTCCTTCGCCTCAGTCTCACCCCAATAGGATGGTCTTGGGGGTCACTTCTCTCCTTCTCCTATAATCTGCTTCCTCCTTTTTTATGCAGTCTCTTTGCCATTTTCCCTTCCATGGATCCTGCATCCATATCCACTCCCAACCTGCCGGCAATTCCCCTTCTCCCCCTTTTATATCCACAAACCCCACCTCCACCTCTACCCGGGATTTTCATTCCTGTCCCGCCAATACTTTCGTGCTTTCTCCAACCATCAGCTTTCATAATTCTCTCTCCATAGGCACAGGGTCTGTTTCTGTAGCCTCTGACTTTTGGGAATGGGAGAAGTCTGTACCCCTTTCTCTATAGAGAGGGGGCGAGATGGCACTCCAGCGAGAACAGCTGGTTTCTCACTTCCAGTCTCACACACGGTTAAATATTTTCCGCAGTATTCGGAAAATAAAATCATACGAGACTGTTTCTGTGGGCCAACAGATTTGCTATCAGCCAGTAAAATCAATTTCCACCTCCTTCAGTTCCCTCCCTCTGGAGTGACGAGCCTGGGACCTGGACTATGTCACCAACTGTCAAGAACCAGAAAAGAGTGCCATAAACATTTAAGGGACATATGTCTATGGCAGTCTTTTCCAGTCCCTGGCCACTGATCATTAAGGCAACTCGATGACATAATCAGAATACAGATGTGACAGTCACAAGAAGTTGTTGTAATCCTATTCTGATTTAAGAAGAAAATGAAACAATCATTCATAGGAGTAGAACATTTGAAAGTATGAGAATATGAAAGCAACATCTCTGAGGCCATGTAGAAAAAAGTGGTACACTTCAATAAAGTAACCAAACCATTAAAGTGAGCCTAGAAAGAGTTTTTTAACTTGTTTTCTAAGAGATAAAGAGAAATGTGTGTAAGTATTGCTTGAGTGGGTGAAACAACATTTAAAAGCTACATATGACATTTCCAGCAGCTTAGATCATAGTCTGGCAAATATGACAGGTGACTAGATAAACGAAGGGCCCTTTCTATCATTCTGCAACCTGATGTTGCAATGGCTTGAGTCAGATAACCCTTCAAACCATGATCTGAATGAACACGAATGAGGCATATGTTCTCTGTACCCTCTCCCACAGAAACTGTTTCCTCTTCAGCTATTAAAGATCAATTAAAGTTTACAGCAACAGCCACATCAGCAAATGTTTCGCCGGGGGGGGGGGGGAACTAGACACCAATGGCTTAGACAGCAGGTGTTAACCAGAGCTGGAGAATTCAGGTGGCATAGGGAACTACGACCTGTGCTAAATAACACACAGAGAAGAGAGAAACCACATACTGTATGAAAAGGAAGGAGGGAACATACAATGCTTTCCCAGTCCTCCCAACCATGATCTGGAAGGTTGCCTGGATTAAGTATCTGTAACATTAGCCTCCCCATTTTTTTTCCTCTTCTGGAAACTAGTTCTCACATGAGATTTGTCCCTTGAAGGCTGTAGAGTAAGAACAATTACATATTATTTTTTTATTTGTATCAGAGCAATGCACAATTTTAAATGATGAATGTATATGAAATATTGGTAAATTAAAAATAAATTAAAATGTTAAGATAATTAGACTGTTTGGCCAGAAGCGGGCTACTTCAATACCATTATTGCCAGACCTTTTGTACATATGGCAGGGCATAAATTGCATGCCCATAAGTGCAGGACTGAATTTCTCCACAATCACAGTAAATTTGCCCTGTATCCAAGTAGCCCCATTAAACTTATTAAATTTCATCTCCCTACTTCACTTCAAAGTCTATTAAGTGACTTCCATGTGGTCCTGCTAGAGTCATGTTCTGGTGGGATATATTCTTGAGAATTCATCCATTTGGCAAGATGTGTTGTTTTTGTTCTCTTATGGTTTAATATTGAGAGCCCGAGATGTGTGCAGAAAACTTTTCTTCAATTTTAGCTTCTGTCGGGGGGGGTGGGGTGTCCATGAAGTGGATGTGTTTGGTGCTGTATTACTTTATTTAGTTCATTACAGTATTTGCTTGCACCTCTTGGCATACATTTGGAGGGGAAATGCCAGCCAAACAGACTTTTTCAATGAGGTTAGGTTTCAGGCAGCCAATAGTAAACCTGCATGATTCATTAAGAGCTACATCCACTTGTTCGGCATGTGCTGATTTATACCATATGCACTAGCATATTCTGCTATGGAGTGGCATGGGGACAAAGCTGTTGTTCTTATTGTCTGTGACTGTGCACCCCATTCTGGCCCAGCGAGTTTCCTAAGTATGTTATTTCTGGCAGTGTTCGAGAATAGAGCAATGTTCTGTTTGGTACAGTGGACCCTTGACTTACAGACGGCTTGACTTACAGACTTTTTGAGTTACAGATTTCTCTGGCCGTAAAATTTAGGTTTGACTTGCAGACTGAGATTTGACTTACAGACCAGAAAAAAACCAAAATGGAACAAAAACGGCCTGTTACGGGATTAATCGGTTTTCAATGCACTGTACGTCAATGGAGACTTGACTTACAGACTTTTTGACTTGAGAACCGCCTTCCAATACGGATTAAGTTCTCAAGTCAAGACCCCACTGTATTTAGATAAAAAATTTTGTAGGTCAAGGTTTTGGGGTAGGGCAATGTTCCAAAATCTTGCCTTCCTGGCTAACTTAGAGCTTCCTCTCTGCTTCTTTGTTCTTTAAAGGCCTTGGTTTCAGCTGGTTGCTTAGTAATATAAGGAAAGATCTTCCGATGCAGAGGTTAGCTGCTGCTCAGTGGCCTTAAAAGTTTCCCTCTGCCCTGTCAAGGTAAGATCATCAGCCTAGATGAAACTCCTGGGGTAAGGGAATGTTGTCTCTCTGTGTTCCTTTAATTTCTCCAGTGAATGGGCCTCTCTTGAAATTCAACAGAGAATTTTCAGTAGTAGAAGTAGAACAGTGACCATTTCTGTCAGTCCATGATCTTCAGTAAGGAGGCAGAACTTTCTGTACAGCAGTTGATGGTGGACAGTATCATATGCTGCTGTAAGTTAACAAATGCTGCTCCAGTTATTTTATCTTCTATATGGTGGGTTAGACTTATGCAAGCTCTTGCCAGGTCTAAAGACTGTGTGTTCTAAATGAGAAGATGCTCAGTTTTAGGGGCTAGATGGTTTAACATCATTCATTCAGACACTTAGTATAAGTGGCATTGTAGGGAGATTGGTAAATATTATTTTAGTCTTTTGCTATATTTTTGGAATTGGTTTGCTCATCCAGCAGTTGTTAGTTGAAAAAGCCACTCCTTTGTGTTTTGTCCAAAATATTAAATTTGCTCAATTTGGGTATCATCAAATCACATGCTTTGCCATTCTTGTGTCTTCTTACAGCTTCCTCTCGTTCCACCAAAATGAAGGTAATAGAAAGTTCATTGTACTCACTCTGAATATCCCTTTGATACTTTATTTTTATTTTGTGTTGGTTGGTCTTCCTTGCCAGGAGCAAATGGTATGCTTTTTGTTTGGGGGTTATATCTGCATGCAGTGTCCTTCTGTTTGGATTGCTGTTCAGTATTTTCAGTAGCCTCCAAGCTTTCCAGCTACTCTTGCCATGTCAAGCTCTGTTATAGTGTCTATCTAAGAAATGCTTTTTGTTTCTGCGAAAGTCAAGATCAAATTTCTCCCAGCATTTACTTTATTTTCGCTAAAAGGATTTTCTTTGAAGTGTGAAATATAATCTAACTACTAGGTATGTGTTGCTGGATTGAGACCTGGATGCTGTTGTTCCAGCACCCACTTGGAATGGAGATCATTTCAAAATGGAAGTTACAAAATGATCATAGTTCTCTAGTTGAGGGGTAATCTGAAGCACAGTTGCAACCTAGCATTGTTAAAAACTTCTCCCAGTTGGCTTTTTTAAAATTATAGCTCCTATGGCATGATAGATTGAGGTTGGATGGTTGAATAGGTCTTACATAGAATGGAGCTGTTCTGAGTGTTTGTCTTTACAAATCCTATTCTAATTAACATTACTACTGTGAGTTCTTACTGCTTCTGGTAAACTGATCTTTAAGGACTTCATAGATACTGTCCACACAGTGCTGCTTGCTTGCTTACTACAGATACAGGATTGTCTTTTGGATATTTAAAGAAATTATGTCACCTTTCATCTCACTTGTTTAAAGGAGACAATTAGATTTGTCAAGCATGACTACAACTTCACAAAGCTAGAGCAACTACTTCTGACCAGATTGCACCTTTACATCAGTGTTCTTCAGGTTCCTCCTGGAATTTAATGTTTGCATCTCCAAGATACCATCCAAAATATTCTCATAATAAAACTTACTATTGCTTATATCATATGATATATTGTATGCTCTGATTTTAAGATGCAAACACACAATCTCAACTCATGTGCATTATGAAATATTATAAATTAACTCGAGATATTGTTTAGTAATCTTAACCAAATAGCACATTATTAGAGATGAGGGTATTTGTATACAAATATCCTCGCACAGGTGGATATTCGTATACGCTGCTGCAGCTGGCTCAGTGCTCCCTTCCAATCGCTTCAGAGCTTGCGGTCAACTAGCCGCTCATCAGCCTGGCAGGGAGACTCATCTTCCCTCCTTCTGCCAAACACGGCTAGTCGACCGCAAGCTCTGAAGCAATTGGAAGGGTGTGTGGAGCCGGCTGCAGCAGCAGACGTGTGAGTGGACGGTCTGGCCCCAGGGGGCCAGACCCTCGTTATGTCGACCTGTGCGGGGGTATTCATATTCGAATACAAATATGAATACCCCCATCTCTACACATTATTTTATGTTCACACAAGACATGCAACATATTATCCATCTAAAGACAACACTTACCTCCAAGTATATAGATGGTGGGTTATGCTCTCCCCCAAATTTATCCAACAGAGCCTCTATGTGTTCTTGTGTTAATTTAATCATCTGTTTGATATTCCACACCTAAAAATAAACATGGATATACACTTCAATACAACTGAATCCAGCAAATGAGTATAAGAAGTGGAGTGAGGGCTATGCACACATTCCATAGAACATGCTACAGCCAGTACCCTATTGGTAGTCCCAATTAAGACTTATTGGCTGAAATACTGTTGCTTTATTATCCAAGTAGAAGGCAAAAAGTGTTACCATTCTGTTGTTTCTAGACAGCAATCAACAAACCACCAGCAAGATTTGTGGGGCTCTATGTGCATGCTCTTGATGCATGCTCAAGAATCCAGCAGAGTCTCATTAAGTGCCATCCAGACGCAAGTGAATGCTACACATTTCCCCTTCTGCCTGCATAATGAAGCAACAGAATCTGAGCCACTGAGTCAACTGAATGGTAAGTAAACACTTCGTAAATCTACAAAGTCAGTGGGTGTGCACTAGTTTGTAGTACCAAGAGAATACTGGTTTACATAAATGTCTGGTGGCAAACTGTCCACTGCTGATTGCTAGAATTATCAATGAGTAAGCCATTTGCCTGAACTGTAAGAAATAGTCTTAAATTGTTTCTGTGACAGAGTTTTACATACCCATCAGAGCCAACGTGACTCTTACTCTGATATAAAACATGACGCTTTTATAGAAGACATGAAGGAAGAACTGTAGCAATTAGTCAAAGGACAATATTTAAGAAGTTATATACTGTACCTCCTCTTGTAATTAAGGAACTACAGCACATTTAATGTTCAGTTCAGGCTATCACCTCAGAAACGTAGCCTTTCTAATGGTTGGCTCTTTTTGCAGAAGGCACAGTGGGGAATCAAACTCTGGCTCCACAGCTAGATACCTAAACCACTAAAGGTGGCAAGACTACTCATCCACTATAAAGAATCAGATTCTAAAATCTGATGGATCAAGATCTAAAATCAGACTCATAATTAATCTGAACCTCCTGTGCAAAGTGAACTAGATAATGACTAATTCATATTGTAGTCAGCATTCAGACTGGTATCATATACCATTTTCGTGAAACAGAATTATTCACATTGCTACAATCAGTTTTTCCTGAGTAAAAATTCTCCAGTACCTACCAATACTTTGAAAAAAGTCCCTTGTGTTTTTCCTTGTGTTTTCTTTTTTTCTTTTTTGTAAGGCCATGTCAGTCATTTGTATTTTATATCCCATCACATGAATTATGTGAACTATGGCTAGGATTACATGTTTATGCTATCAAAAATCCTCTTTTTGTGGAGGAACAGCACAGGTACACACACTTCTACCATGCATCTAACATAACTCCTGAAATCCTATTGTGGAATCCATTCACAGTCTATGCAAAGATGGCTGCAGCCTAGGTAAACATATGAAAAGGTTCCAGGCTTGAGCAGCAATACCTGACAAGCCCTTATTGTAAAGTTACTTGAGCAGACTGTGACAAAAAGATGTCACAAAAAGACCTTGATGCTATGCATATTACTCAATTGTATTAACATATACTGTAATGCATGACCTGTATCAGTTTGAAGAACTCAGTTCATCTAAGAGGGAAAAAAAGCATTTAAAATCTACTGAACAAAATTAAGTCAGATTTCTGATTGTTCCCGCTAATATTGCACACAGACTGTGAGTTCTGGCAGTAAAGATTTGAAATTGGAGGCACTGAGAAATGAGAGAAAGCCGTGGTCGCCAAGAACTTTCAACAGGAGTAACTGTGCCACATTACGTACAGTACTTGTAGAACTTGCTCCCTAATGGTCTGGCTAGTGCCTACACAATTATCTTTCAGGCACTATGTACAGACTTCTTTATTGTATAACTTTTAAAATCATGGATCTGTCTCCCCTGGTCTGTTTTTCACGTAGTCTCCAATCCACAGTTTAATTCTATATTTCTGTTGCTGTTTCAAGGTCCTGCTACATGAGACAACGATTCCATATTGAATAGTAAGTAGTGTAGTACAACTCAACCCAACCAACTCTGCCCCCACTTATTCCAGCATGAGTTTGCTTCAATCCACAACTGGGAAACTAGTTATTTTGTTTTGTTTCATTTCGTAATTGGTCAGATGATTCACAACAGTTTAGCATGTTTCAGGCACAGCATCACTGAAAGATCTTAATCTTAATATGCAATTAGACCTTTTTTTCTGTTACCCTTATTCTGATAAGTTCTTAACTGGAAGCTGGTACTGTATATAGAAATATTTAAAAATAGACAACAAACACTTCGAATAGCTTGAGAAATAGATTGCAATTAATTATACTGTTACAATAATAGAATCAATGCTCCGGAAAATTATCTTCATATACAACTCTAACTTCTATATTTTGCATTAGCTGAAATTTTTAAACACTTGCTTATAGCCCCTTACAGAAGATGTGCATGACTAGGGTTCCTTCAGAATGAGGAGGCACTGTTTGGCACAGGAGCATAAGCTGCATCAAGGCACTCCTGTGCTGTCACCTACTTATCCAAGACCACTTGATTTTTCAATGGGATAAAACTCCCTTCCCCAAATACTGTGCATGAAACCTCTTTCCTGGATCAGCAATTCTGATCAACAGCTGTTCTTTCTTGTCTGGATAAAGTTCAAATCCATTATTACTCCTTTAGCTTCAAAATAAGTATTCTGTAAATAATGCCAATTTCTGTGCAATGGATGATGCTTAATTCAAGCAAAGAATGGGTTACAAAAACTGCAAATAATTCTTTCAGACTTGGAAAAAGAGACCACATGAGGATGTTGTTGTTACTGTGCAACCATTTTGTAGTTTTCTTTTCCCTTCTAAGAGATTACCTTATCAGGCAGCTACTATTCTTAGGGGGCATATACGATACAGATTTCCTTTCCCTTTCTCCCCTTGCTGGACCAAACCTCCCAAAATAGAGAAGATGACCTATCAGACAATGAAAGTGATTACAGATGTTTGTCTCTTTATATTGCTGAAAATTAAAATGTTGAATGAGTAAATTAATTTGTTAGCTGATTTCTATTGTGATTCACTGTATTATTTTTATTTGACAAAACTGTTTCAAACCTAGACAAAATCAAATTGTATTTTATTTTAGAAGCAAAGTAAGATTTGAATTGTTCATTAAGTTCTATCCATTTTAACAGCAATACTGGCTTATCTGTTGTAAAAAAAGAAACATCCTAATAGTCAAGTGCATCATTACGCCACTACACACTTTCAATAATGCAAAGAAAAATTAAAGAACAGTGTCTCCCCACAGCTTGTCTGTTGTGTTAATTACAAAACAGTCACCTTGTATTCTTTCCAGAAAGAATCCTTCACTGTCTTTCAAGCTGAGCTGGCAAACTACGTCATTTTCAATTGGCAACACTGTTAACACTGCTCAGACATTCTTCAGGCTGTGACAACTGCACAGAATTCTGTCTAGTAGACATCTTGGCAGCACACTTAGAAGCTGCCTCTTAAACCCTAATAATTCATTTCTAGTTGTGCTCTTTCAGAGGCATCAGAAGTGACCACAACTTGCACAACTTATAACTTATGAAATCAACATGTAGCTTGCTGGCCCCATACAGCAGCCTATCAGGGGCTTGTCTGGACTATTGATTTTGCTGTTTACTGAGGCTACAGTAGTGGTTACTAACCAGTAGGTGTCCCTTCCAAGACAACATCACAGGACATCAAGGGAAAGGGGAAAAAAAGATAGCATTTTCAAAAATTGTGCATGTGTAAAGAAAAAACAGGACTGAACTCTGATCCCCCCTTCTAAATTTAGAATGCCTTGATTTGTTTTCAAACAATGATAGTTCAGATTTCAAAGAAGTGTTGCGGAGTAGTAATTTCAGGGGATACTTAGGATTGAAAAAGTTGCTTATAAAAAAAGAGCATAGGGTCAAGAATACTGGTCAAAATCCTGTTGTTTAGCATAGAAAATCACACAATAGAATCTGGTGAATAAATTCCTCTGTAAGTTCTGTTGATTGAAATAGGACTACTCTAATTGGAATTTACTACCCCCATTGATTCAGTGGACCTTGTGATTTACCACACTAAGCAACAGGATTTTAGTCACTGTGTTACAAAAATGGAACTGTCAATATTCCATATGGCCACAGATAGCTAGTGAATTTAGCCTTGTGCTTTATTAGTTAAGCAGGCCTGATGCAAGATGCACATGAAAATGATTTTATAGCTCTTAACTAACGCATCATATTTAAATTATACATTTCACATCGACCAGTGCTAGACACCCTATTATTAAGCAAATACTGTATCACAAACATTAACATAATCTTAAATTGCACACAGAAAGGAAAATAAACTGGAAACGAATGTGTGACAAAAATTAAGGCACTGCATTCCCATTCACTTTCCACACAATCCACCCACAACTTCAAAATAAAAGGCTAGCTAAACTTTCTTAAAGGACCTATGCTCTTGAGAGTCCCCTGGACTGCAAGGAGAACAAACCTATCCATTCTAAAGGAAATCAACCCTGAGTGCTCACTGGAAGGATAGATCCTGAAGCTGAGGCTCCAATACTTTGGCCATCTCATGAGAAGAGAAGACTCCCTGGAAAAGACCCTGTTAGGACAGTGTGAAGGCAGGAGGAGAAGGGGATGACAGAGGATGAGATGGTTGGACAGTGTCATTGAAGCTACCAACATGAATTTGACCCAACTCAGGGAGGCCGTGGAAGACAGGTGGGCCTGGCGTGCTCTGGTCCATGGAGTCACGAAGAGTCGGACACGACTAAACGACAGCAACAAACTTTCTTAAAAGGCTGAATGAGGAAAAAACTGTTGCTTTTCAACTCAATGATCCTTAATTGTGAGATTCACAAGAATAAAAATGTTGGATGATGCTAGACTTCAACAGACACATAAAAAGTTACTAGTTATTTGCTAACAACTAAGTGTGCAAGACTAAGGAAAGCAACAACAAAAAATAAAAGCACAAACCATTAATCCTTGTTCAAAGGACAGAAGTACTTATTTTATTTTATACATATTATTTTATGTATATATTATTTTATAT